CTTACTGTATATCAATTACCATTACCTCTACTAACGAGGAACGATGCTTATTAGTTTTATGTCAATTATCGTTACCGTTAGTAACGGGGAACGATGGTAACGGTAACTGGTAACTGTCACAGCCCTAACTATCTATCTGACTTGGTGATAACTGTCATATTGCATTCTAAAACGAGATGAATTATGTATACAATACCTGTTGCAAGCTCCAATGGTAGTAATATCAAGACTGTTGCCCAATTAAACATGTCATGAACAGTTGCACCAGCAAACGCTCGTCGAAAATCATCACGATTATTCTAAATCATAGCAATAATTGTAGAAAAACTGATAATGATAAAACTCAAATAATAAGATGAAAAATGAAGAAAAATTTTAATTACCGATTGGGTCAATGCTACCAGTGTATTTGTGACGGATGTCCCTGAAAAATGGTTAAAAGTATTCGTTTCTTAACACATTTTGATATTGTTAAACGTACCAATATTAGCACCTATAAAAACAACAGTTGTCAATGTCAGAGAAACAGAGATCAAATTCACATTGCGTTATACGAACCCATGATAATTGGGATTGCTCTTTTCACTGATAAAACTATATAGAATAGCCAAATAAGATTTGTCAAAAGGTGATTTTATCCCATTATTTATTTACTTGATGATGATACCATGCTAACAACAATCGATGTCGAAGTTGACGAACTTTGTACAAGCACAGTCGCCAATAAACCAAGCATTAGTCCTCCAATTGGGTTTGTTAACACTTTGCTTTCGGAAAAAGCTTGACCAGTTAATTTACCTAAACGTTTTGTTTGTATTCTTCTATAAAGATGAATAGGCGCTACAACCTACGCCATATACGTACTTACCACCTAACAGGCGGAAACCAGAACTCATTAAATCCAATGAACACACAAATATATATAATAATACTAATAGAAAAATCAATTTAATAATGAGGACAAAAATGAACTTTGTTTTCTCTTTGTTGTTCATATCTGTAATCGTGGAAATTTATAAAGTTTAGGAAAATTTCCAAACACACCTATTTCTTACCTTGCCATTTCACGCCAGTTAGCTGTTCGTCCATAACAACTGCCCATTTATCAACGTCCTCACTCGTGGTATTTTTATCTTTTTTTATCATCTATATCGAACGTAGTTCTTATTGAGATCACAGATGATAAGGTCGGTTGATTCATTTTACTATCATTAGCCGGATGAATTCTACTTAAAATTAATAGTGAGCATAACTTGCATACTGATCATCAACGAAAACACAAGCTAATTCAAAGCACTTAATACATACTGGTTTTGTTTACTCATTGAGAACTTAAAACCGAATTAAACTGGGTTAAATTTTCCAATCGAGAAAATAGATTATGTGAATATCGTAACTGATCGTTTTACCTTTTTATAACTTCATAGTTCAGAGAAAAGAGAAAATACAAAACAGAAAGGATAAATTCTGGAAAATCAAAAAATTCTGAGTAAACACAGTTGACGGTACTCCACCCATACTCTATCTCTTAAATAAATATTGCGTCAATTCATGAGTAATGATGATGAGTTCTTTTATAAAAATATAGTTACGCTATTTTCCTTCTGTTTATAGGTCATGGAATATAATCCGTTAGTAAATGGTGTTTATGAATAACGTCTAAAAAGCAAAAGTTAAAGAACTGTATCTTTTCCTCATCAGTATAAGGCGTTATCATTCACTCATGAATTGACGCAATATTTATTTAAGAGATAAAGTATGGGTGGAGTATCGTCAACTCAATTTACTCAAAATGTTTTGATCTTTCAGATTTTATCCTTTCTGTTTTATATTTTCTCTTTTCTCTGAACTATGAAGTTATAAACATGTAAAACAATGAGTTATGATATTCACATAGTCTATTTTCTCGATTTGTAACTATAGTTAGTTAGTTGGATAGAGTGTTCAGACTAGAGCTCAGAAGGTTACAGCTAAGCTAATCTAACCTATTGGTTACGTTAGGTTGTAGGTTGTGTTTTTATTTTTTGCGATTTCTTTCTGCTTTTCAATGAGCGAAATTTTTTTTTGATTTTGAGTCACTCACGCCCTAGTTCTTTGAAAGAGAATAAACTCAATGACATGTATGTTTACTTTTGTGAAATATGCGTGTAACGTTGTGTGGGTTGAAAACAAAGAACCACAGGATAGGTTAGATTAGGAATAGGTTGCCGACTTCATAGGTTGGGTTAAAATTATGTTGTGAAATTTTTTATAGGTCAGGTTAGACAACATGCGAAACTAATGATGCTAATAAAGACATTGTTCAGCGAGTAAGCGTTTCACGGACAATGTGAACAAGACTACTGAGCAAACTGGAAAAGCTATATTTAGCTATAATTGGAGTTAGGCGCGATTACAGTGAAGAATGATTATCTAAAATACTTAAAAGATTATCTAAAATAAGAAAAGGTGCACTAATATTTATTTCCGGATGGATCGTGAACGAGAATGTCAGATCACTTTCTTTAAACTGTATACTTGAGTGCAATAACACTGGTATCGATGTACTACAGAACTTCAAGAGGATATAGCGGTTTTCTCTCAGCTAATTTTCAAAAATATGTTTTTACATCGCAGCTTCATTAATGTTTTATCAGAAGACGCGGCATGAAGAATCATTGTCAAAAACGTCAGTTAAACCGTCTCTATTCCACAAGCTTATTCAATTCAGCGTGTATAAAAGCAGAATTATCTTTAAAAATGGCACTGGAATGGCGCCTTTTATATAATAAAGACGAATTATGTATATATCGCCTCATAGAACGAATAAAATAGAGCAAAACTGTCACTCGATTAAACTTAATTCGATTGTACATGTAACCGGAAAACGAAATTTTCAAAATTCTTTCGTGTGTTTGTGAATTGAACCCTTTCGTTACAATGGACTTTTTCGATCACTGAAAGGATGCTGAGAGGACGATGTAGAGAAATTAAGCACTACTAGCTGTTCAATCATGTTTTAAAATTTTAGTTTAAATAGTTAAATTGCCATATCTTCACAGCGTGGCTGAGTGATCTGCGAATAGGTTAAGATAGTACTTCGAGAATCCTATTCCGTGTCGCTCTTCCTCTCCGACCTGTGAAGATCTTGGAAACATGCCTGCTCATATTATACTATAGAAAATTCTGCCACAAAGCACTCTGATTCTACAGTTCGATCAGTCTACAGAGAAGGAGTCGAATGATGTATTATAACTTCATATTTGCCATAATTTGATTGAAATATTTGATCACCTTGGTAAATGTGTGTTACTTACAAGCAGGAGCGCCCGATACCTCGGAGACAGGGGGTGGCGAAGTCAATTTCGGAGTAAACTTTTATGCTTTTAAAAATTGGAGTAAAACTAAAAAGCAAAAGATAAATATTCTAAGCAGCTTTCTTTTAAAGCAGGAATGAATTTCTTTCTATCTACTTTATTTACTTCAACACAAAGAGAGAAAAATGCTTTACTCTAAAAATGGAAGTCTATGTCTTACTCCGAAAATAGAAATATCTTACTTTTGAAAATAGAGTAAATTCCTAACTACGAAACTGACGAGGGAACCTCTCCAGATGCCTCACTCCAAATTCAATGATCTTTTGACCACAGATAGTCCATATGGTCCTAACAAAAAGTCTAATTGGATTTGTCCCCGAGTTTTCTTTGTCCGGAATGATCGAACACATTATGTTCTCCACAGTGGAGAACATAAGAAGAGAAAAAAACCTAAGGAATTTCAAACCAAATAGTCGAGTCCTTCGCAAGATAGCAATGATGAAAAATCGAAAAATTGACTGAATGAAATATGTGAAAACAAACTTTCTGTGGAAACTCGGTTTTTGTCTCTCTGAAACACATAACATTCGAACATTTCAATCCGACAAAAAGTTTTTTCCTATTGGTTAATAGCTTCTTTCCAGCGTACCGTTGAACTCGAAAGTTTTTTCCGTGCTGGAAAATTCACAACTTCAGGCGACTGGACAAAAATGGGCCAAAGAGTATGACAGCTAATATCGAGCAAAGTCTGAACTATATTTAGGGAGCGTTTCAAAATCTATTCCGGTCGGGCAGTCGCTATTCCTCTATTCCCCTATTATTCCTCTGTTATAGAACATTTGTATACTATTTATACTTTATATATACCGAGCTTGATTTTATTTTCTAATTGTTTCTATTTCTTCAAAAACAATGTACCGCCATGTTTCCATGTTTCTGAGTGCACCTAAGTATAAGTGCTGCTCGCAAAATATGAATGTATCAACACTCATATCAACCATTTCACGGGAGCTGTTGCTAGAATGATTGATGTAAACTTTCATCGCGTCACACGTAATACATTTCAAAGGCAGATAGATGATGAGTAGGATAATTGGACTGACCTGTCTAGAATGGTCATTCTCCAGAGAAACAACGCTGCCTTTATATAACTTCTTGAATTAACATCAGCCATAAACGCATACTTTTTGATTATTTTGGCTCAAGAAGTTCCATCGGTAACATAAATAAGTTTTGAAAAGATATTTCTAAACAATTACTGAAAAGTTTCATTGAGAATCCACTTATGGACACTTTTATAATATGCCAAATTCTTACAGTTGCACACCAGAATAAAACAAACATGGTGTCAATTTATTGGAGTATGCTTTCTGTATTATTTCAAAATAAAATATCGTGAAGAAGTTAGAAGTGATTGAACAAACATTACAAGTTTTTTCCTTGATTCATTTATAAGTAGATCAACTGAAAAATGTCGCTATGGAAAGATCATTATACAAATATTTTAATAAATCTTCAGCTTCATCGATCAGCAGTGTCAACTTCCACAGTTCTGTGGAAATTCCTGTAGAATTCTGCAGCACTGCAGAATTCAACCACACATTCAACTCTACACTGTAACTAAGATTCTGTTCGGAATCTGGTTGAATTCTGGTAGAATTGAATCAGAGGAGGATAGGAGGGAACATGAGAGTGAGTACTGATAGCTTGAATTCTGCTGAATGCTAGTAGAATTGCGCCAGATTCTGCCATAATTACAGCAGAATTGAGCAGAATCTGCCAATTCGTAGAGAGAATCTAAATGTGAACTAATATAACTCGTAGAACTAGAATTGGAATTCTACCAGAAGTCAACCATATTCCGAACAGAATCTTAACTACAGTATATATTTAAATGTGAAGTTGAATTCTGCAGTTCTGCAGAATTCTGCCGGAATTTCCACGGAACTGTGGAACTTGACACCACTCAAGCGAAATGTTTATTAGATAGACTTACCGTTCTCAAATTGATATTCAGTTGTAGGAAAACATTGCACAACTAACAGAACATGTGCCAGTGATGGTGATGATGCATTCAATTTTCTTTCCTTCAGTTGTCTTGGACGGATTGCTTCTTGCCGATTAACAAACATATAAAGCATTCGGTTATGCACACCTTCGATACCCTGTCCATTATTCCCTACAATAATAAACAAACAAATGGTTAATAAAAAGTACATTATTAAACAGCACATGCATTAAATTTTGTCATGAGCAACATACATTGCATCATCAGTTTCGAATATCGTGTACCGGTGGTCGCTCCTAATATTGATAAGCGAGCACGTTCAATATGTATTAAAGTTGAACCCGTCGCACGGTCAGTGTCGGTAATTTCATCAAACCGTTTACAAAGGAGAGATGATTCTTCCGGTTTGTCACCACTATCAAACACACCTAACTTTGAAAATGTTGAATCAATCTCGTCGGATATCAGATATTTATCACCTGTTGATAAATATTTACGAAGAGCCAGGCCATTTAAATCGGATACCATAGATGATACAGATTCCTCATCTTTGCCAACGCTTAATTTTGATTTATACTGGTTTTGGAACATATTTTCGATTCTTTTCGTCGCATCAGATATTCGCATGACGTGAGAAGTTTTATTAGCTCCTATGAAACACAAATAAACAAAACACACGAGTACAAAAAAACAATTTTAACCTTTACTCGTTATGCTCATACCACTGAAACCGATAATCACAGTGAATAAATTCAGCGGTTTACTGCATTGAAATAAATTTAAATATCTACTTGTCCTTGAAAAATGGCCAATACTTGACAATAATCCATAAAATAAAGTTACTGGTTGCAGCATTAACCAGTCTTTGTAATTTTGAAAAATTGAAAACTCATCAAGTGTTAAAAGAGTTGATAGATCAAATTCTGGCTGTTTTGCTAGTTTTTCCATATTTTCATGTAAAATATTTCCAAAATTATTCTGTGCTGCACTCATTGTTCAAACTAAAAGACAATCATAACTCATGAAAGAGCGCGAGCATAACAAGCATAATACAACAGACGAAAACAAACGATCTGTTTTTTCTACGAAACTTCTAACTCTTCCACAGTCATTCTTCAACTAAATCACTATCTTTAGAGTTTAATAGAGTAAAGCTCAAAAACAGGGCCGAAGAAGTGTAGGCTTTTAGAAACAACCCAAAACCCTTTCGGCCAAGCCTCTTCTTACGAGGGAACCCCACGAAGTGATTAAACGCTTTTTGCTCGGAATCTAGTGGGTTATAGGTTATCGACCATGCTGATTACGAATACGACCATGCGGCTTCCGCATAGCCCTTCGAAGACCTGG